TACTGCCTCTTCCTCTCCTACAACTAGTGACTCAGTTCAATTTGCTTATCAGTTTCTGACAGCCATCTCTATTACAATATTAATTGTCCTCATAATATTAGTACTTATTTGTGCATTGGTGTTCTTGTGTTCTTATTATAAAAATAAGAAGACTGAGAGGCAGTAAGTTATACTAATAGTGTCATTAATGTAACTGAGTATTGTTAATAGAGGTTTGGAAGTTAATATGATTCAAACAGACTTAAGTCCAGCGTACAACTTACTTGCTAAGTGAATGTTTCTCTCTTTTTTTCTCATTCATTTATTAATGTATTTTTAGTGATGATGATGACATGCAATACAATCAAGCTTATGCTACAGCACAGTATGTTTTATTAAAATATTACATTATATATTATAATCAATATGTAGTTCATTTGAGCAAGACTATGAAAAAATAAAAGACTGTTAATAATTGATGAAAGACCAACCAATAAATTTTTTACTTATGTCATTAAAAATCTAAATTTAGATTTAGCATTTAATAGTTGATCAAACTTTAAAAATACTGTAATGAAGCAATTTCACAAGCAAACTTCATATTATGGTGTATCATGTAAACATTAATATGATAGTTGATTGCATGCATCATGTAATGGCATACAATAGAGGATATGCGTGCTAAGTATATTCATTGCAAAATAAATGTATTCATTGCATACCATAATAACTTTCAAGAAAAAAAATTAGTTCGTTGGACGTCAACTTTCCATTGGCAGCAATGGAGAAAAGATAGAAAAAGGCTTGGTACCATAGGCGTATCTAGCCTTCTCCATCTACCAGGGCACTTAATTAATTATTATTCATATAATTAATTAATTATTCATATATCTAATTAATTAATCATTATCTACTCTTGATCATACCTTTAACTATTGATTGGGGCAAGTTGGGCAAAGGCATTTTAAATTTAAGACCTATAGCTGCCCTGGTGCTTGAATAAACACTTGTAACATGTAGGTGTGTGCTAAATTATTGTGGTTAACAGTGCTACCTATTGTGGTTAACAGTCCTCCCACTGTTACAATACTGTGTATAATACAACTAGAAGTAATGTAGAACATTAAGGGGCGAGCCTAAGCTAGCAAAGCAATCATAGCACTGGATCTATCCATCTATGATCTACTCCTGATGATTTCAAAGCATGCATCATGATTTAGGCATAGCACTGAAGGCATGCCAAATGTACATGATGAAACCTAAAGATGATAAAATCACTTCATATAATTTATTTTATTTACCTTTTAATCTTCTAGTTTCACATACACATTTCTTGCCTATAAATGTCTGTAAAGATGCTTTACTTAGCTTTAGATATAATATTATCCAATGTTAAGATGACTGAGAAAAAGCTTGATTGACTTTCACAGTTTTAATAGCAATTGTATCAATAAAGACGAGCTTCATAGGTTATTAATTGAATTTAAAACCTTTTATAGCTGTTGGAGAAGTCTTTGGACGGTGTATCTGCCTTATATTGCTGCTAGAAAGCTCATGAATTCTTCCAGTGTGTTGGTTGCCATTTTTATTATACTGTGACCGCTCCCACTTTCAATGAAAAATTGAAAAATGACTTTATATTGCATTGGTTATGCATAGTATCTGTCTACCGTATTAGATCTACGCATAAATAGGGGTGACGTACGAGGACAGACATACAGCATAGATTGTATTACTAAGTACTAGGCGAATGTAGAACATTAAAGGGGCGAGCACAAGCTAGCATGGCAATATACAATGTTTAGATGTCACAAAGGCTAATGTTGTTGTCAAATTGTAAATTGAATGATACACATGCAGAGCACTGAGCTCAGAACTTGTGACTTGCATGCAAGGAAATTTTATAGCTTGCTCTTCTCTCTTTATTAGCAGTGAAGAATCTCAGTTGTAACTTTAATAAGTATAATTTAATTTTTACTATGATATTTTCAAGCACAGTACTTTTAGACTCTCTTTTCTCTGATGAGCCATTTGAAGTGCTTTTATATTCTGTCATTCAACCATAATTAATAAAAACTTGAAGATTTATGTGTGTTTTCTTGAATTTTCTCTGCTGATGAAGTGTCTTGACAAGACATCAGTCCTATGTTGCTGCAAGTAAGATTGGCTAAGGTAGGTGCCATTTTAATTTCATTGCAACCACACCCACATCAATAAAAATATTTCATTAGAATGCTACCGCATTAGATCATTGATTTTTAAATAGATATTGTGCACACATGGGTGTGACCAGAATAGGCGTGACTGGAGACGTACGTACATACATACATACATACGGAGGGAGGGAGGGAGACTTCGCCTGAGTGGGGCGAGCTTATGCTCGCCCCAATTAACTAGGCGAATGTAGAACATTAAAGGGGCGAGCACAAGCTAGCATGGCAATATACAATGTTTAGATGTCACAAAGGCTAATGTTGTTGTCAAATTGTAAATTGAATGATACACATGCAGAGCACTGAGCTCAGAACTTGTGACTTGCATGCAAGGAAATTTTATAGCTTGCTCTTCTCTCTTTATTAGCAGTGAAGAATCTCAGTTGTAACTTTAATAAGTATAATTTAATTTTTACTATGATATTTTCAAGCACAGTACTTTTAGACTCTCTTTTCTCTGATGAGCCATTTGAAGTGCTTTTATATTCTGTCATTCAACCATAATTAATAAAAACTTGAAGATTTATGTGTGTTTTCTTGAATTGTCTCTGCTGATGAAGTGTCTTGACAAGACATCAGTCCTATGTTGCTGCAAGTAAGATTGGCTAAG